CTGGCGGTCATTTCGCGAGCGACTTTGAAATGCGACTGGTTTATTTTTATTGTATTGGTCTACTTTAAAAAATAATACTTTATAAGACATTTATGGGAAAAGACTATTTTCTTTTCAAGATGTTTCCAACTGTAACTTTGAACCAATTCTGTAGAATGGCCCATATAGCATTTGACCAGGATTTGTTTCCAGGTATGACTAAAAATGTGCTTTTGGCTTTCATTTATATTTTTATTGTTTGTATATATATATATACATGTGTGTGTGTGTGTGTGTGTGTGTGTGTGTGTGTGTGTGTGTGTGTGTGTGTGTGTGTGTGTGTGTGTGTGTGTGTGTGTGTATATATATATATATATATATATATACATGTAGGCTATATATAAATACAAGAAAGAATGCTATGACAATATATATATATATATATATATATATATATATATACATGTAGGCTATATATATATATATATACAAGAAAGAATGCAATGACAATATATATATATATATATATATATATATATATATATTGTCCTTACATTCTTTCTTGTGTGACACCCCTGAATGAAAGGCTCATTTTTATGCAGGGTCACTGTCTGAGAACCACTTAATTATTCATGATAGGGGTTGGGCCGTTCCGCCCATCCGCATATTGCCTTGGCAAACAAAAAAATGTTTTTCACAATTTAAAACAATCTATTGTTTTATGTGAATGATTAGGAAGGATGATTTTCAGATCATTTTGAAGCAAAAACTCTAGGCAACAACGTACATTAGTCAAAAGTCTTGTGGACTCATATTTAGTATGTTTTTTGTGTCCTTATTTCAAAAACTTTATTTTTTAGTTTTTTCAATAACCACGCATAAACAATATTCTCTCAAAAATACAAACATGTAAATACATGTTGCTAACACATTATGGTAGTCCTGTTTGTGCTAAATAGAGTTTAATTTCACCTGTGCCATTAATATGTTTATAAGCAACTGAAAAAAACACAAATGTCAGGGTATGTCAAAACATCTCAAGGACCCCAAAAACACCTTGGTCCCCAGAGGGTTAATTGTAAAGATTAATCTGTATTTAAGTTTTACAGTAAAGACTATCCGGTGTTGTTTTACATTTGATTACTTTATTCAATTTCTGTAGTATTTCTTTCCTGAATACTACTGTTAGAACTACCTGAAAAACTTGTAAAAATTTTAATTTTTATTGAATTGCATTTATTTGTGCTATTATTTGTAAACAGTTATGTTATCATAACTGTTTACCTGTCTTTTTATAAATTCAATTCAAAGTTTGAAGTCGAATGTCCTTGTGCTGTGTGTGAGCTCCCCCATTGTTCCCCATGAGATGATTGTAATGGTAATTGATCAATGTTTATATGTGAATAAAAGCCTCAATTCAAACAGGTTCATCATATATTTTGTCTCTTCGGAGGACTTTTATTAAACTGCTGGATTCAATACTGATTGCCTAGAATTTCATTGGATGAACAAACAATTATGAGATAATGTAAAATATATATATATGGCAGTATATATGCCAGATAATTCCATTATCAAATTATCGTGATAACATTACTTCCTGTGAAGCTTGTATGTTTTTCGACCAATCAGCCATGATGGTAAAGAAGGGCGTTTTTTGTAAGAAAAACAAGATTTTAACATTTCTTTCTGGTCAAGATGGACTGGACCACATGAGGTGTGTCATTCTGTTTGGAAAGCACATATTCACAGAAACCGTCTGACACTGGCACGAGTAAATGCTTCTTCACACTCACTTTAATCATGCAGTCAACCATGATGGCACATGCTTCAATAAACAGAAACGGTGATTATTGTATGGCGACTGCACTTTGGGTTGGATCCATCAGAACCACATATGGTGTTGACGACAGGGTTCCTCTTCCAGCTGTGTGAGGAACGTGTGTATTTCCTCTATCTGACCCTGAAAACACAGAACCATGACAGAGCCTTAGGCCTCATTCAGACTGTCAGTCCAAATCCCATTATTTGTGTATCCGATTGGAATCTGATCTAAAGTTATTGATGTCCACACTGTGTATCGCAACTGTTCAGATCCGATGTGTGTGTCCATGCAGCTCTTCCGTTTTCAGTAATATCTGCATTCGTTTCTATGGCAATGACGTTGCGTTGGTAGACATACGCCAAAAACAGCAATGACCGCAACATGGAGCGGTTTGCAATAGAGATGATGTCTTATTTAAATTGTACAATGCTGTCGCGCTGGGTTACGCGCTGGGTTACGCGCTGGGTTATGCGCTGGGTTACGCGCTGGGTTACCCGCTTGGTTACGCGCTGGGTTACGCGCTGGGTTACGCGCTGGGTTACGCGCTGGGTTACGCGCTGGGTTGCGCGCTGGGTTGCACGCTGGGTTGCGCGTTTCTGATGGATCCAACCCAAAGTGCAGTCGCCATACAATAATCACCGTTTCTGTTTATTGAAGCATATGCCATCATGGTTTACTGCATGATTAAAGTGAGGGTTACGCGCTGTGTTACGCGCTGTGTTACGCGCTGTGTTACGCGCTGTGTTACGCGCTGGGTTACGCGCTGGGTTACGCGCTGGGTTACGCGCTGGGTTACGCGCTGGGTTACGCGCTGGGTTACGCGCTGGGTTACGCGCAGGGTTACGCGCTGGGTTACGCGCTGGGTTACGCGCTGGGATACGCGCTGGGTTACGCGCTGGGTTACGCGCTGGGTTACGCGCTGGGTTACGCGTTGGGTTACGCGCTGGGTTACGCGCTGGGTTACGCGCTGGGTTACGCGCTGGGTTACGCGCTGGGTTACGCGCTGGGTTACGCGTTGGGTTACGCGCTGGGTTACGCGCTGGGTTACGCGCTGGGTTACGGGCTGGGTTACGCGCTGGGTTACGCGCTGGGTTACGCGCTGGGTTACGCGCAGGGTTACGCGCTGGGTTACGCGCTGGGTTACGCGCTGGGTTACGCGTTGGGTTACGCGCTGGGTTACGCGCTGGGTTACGCGCTGGGTTACGCGCTGGGTTACGCGCTGGGTTACGCGCTGGGTTACGCGCTGGGTTACGCGTTGGGTTACGCGCTGGGTTACGCGCTGGGTTACGCGTTGGGTTACGCGCTGGGTTACGCGCTGGGTTACGCGCTGGGTTGTGAGCAGAACCGGAGGCTGGCATGGGCTGCTTTATTCCGCGCTGTCGTCTCCGTTATATTGGCCTTTTCTGCTCGTCCGGCACTTTGCAACAACACATTGTTCCGGCAGCGACTTTCAACATGTTTCCTATAACAGCGGCTGACGTTTACGTTTTACGTGCTGTGAGAAAGTCACATAAACCACGCAAAATCCGATCAGATCGTTCAGACTGAGACGGATTTCCAGAAATGCGATTTAAATAGGATTTCAAACCACATATGAATGAAGCTTGAAACGGATTTGTAAAGATCGGATTTCATGTGATTTTTAACTGACAGTTAAACTGACGGATTTAGACAGACAGTCTGAAAGAGGCTTTAGTACAATAAGATCAAAGACTGACAGGACACTGGACACACACACACACACACACACACACACACACACACTACAGAGAAACAACTACAGTAGAGGAGCGGTTTGTGTCCACACCAAACCAGAACTCAGACAGAGCTGCACTTTTCTTACACAAAATACAGAGATAATGGAGAAATGTTGTCCAGAAAAACTGCTCTAAATCATATACCCAAAAATGACAAAAGTTGGTTTGCTCAAGATTCATGTCAATCATTTTCTTAATGTTGTCGCATCAGAAACACGGAGCTCCAAAAACACAGAGATTCTCTTCTCTGAAACAATAAAACACAAACACACACTGAGAACCAAAATCTCCTGACACTAGTTCAACACAAGTGTCAATCAAAGATAATCAAAACCCATTCGACTTCCTTATTACTGCAAAGCATGATGGGATGTTAAATGAAATGATAAAACAAACAAGCACTAAATTCCAGTCGGCCATAATGAAATGATTCGGTGAGGTTGTGAGATCCGGTCTCGTCTCTGATAACTGCCTTCATCTTTAAAAATGGAGATAAATTTGACCACAGTAAATACAGATGTATTTGTGTGAAAGTTATTCTGCAGTATAATAAACTCCTGGACTTCATCATGACACACAGATTAAAAGTTACATGAGCACATCAACATACATCAACATTTAACTGAAAAACATTCTCCCCAAATTACAGGCAAAATGTCTGCATGTTTTATTAACTTTATTGGAGTTATTCAGACTGGTGCCAAGGATTATTTTACAAACCTATAGAAGGTGGTTTAGGAAACAACCTCATTAAATCCATAAACACTGAAAGTAAATGGCAATGGAATTAAAACTAGCAAAAAAATAATCTTTCCCAGGAGCATAGAGAGACAACGCTGACATTTTTCAACATCATTTCTACATCAATGAACCGGCATTGAGACTGGAACGATCTGGTCTAACTCAAATCAAATGTCTGCTCTATATCTATAAATAAATCATGCAGGGCAGAATCAGTCAAATATTCACAAATAAAGGAATGGCCAGCATTCTGGAAGCATTTATAAGTCATTGACACCCCTGTAGTATTCAAGCTGTGAGCAGAGGATCCAGTCGCTCTTTCAGCATCACTAACATCTCCTGACCCCATCACACCGATTCTCTTCATTAGTGCCTTCTTTTTACTGTTTGTATTTGTGTTACAATGCTTCAGCAATGCTTTTTTATCCTTTTTTACCAAGCCAAATAACGCTATTTGAATCTGAATCAGAGAGAGAGAGAGAGAGAGAGAGTTGAAGGAGCCACATTGTGTCAGTGTGTGAGGAGAGCAGGCAGAGGGAGAAGCAAGCGCACACACACACCTCATTAACACACACGAAAAGAGAGAGAGAGAGAGAGAGAGAGAGAGAGAGAGAGAGACTGGATTCCTTGCTCATACCGCCAGCACTCCTGGTTTTCCCGATGCAGCGCGTCAAGGCTCGGATCCGCAGAAGAGAGAAGAGCAGATCCACAGCTGACGGATCTGAGGACGAGCGGTCAGGACACACTCAATCCCTCGGCATCTGCATTCACAGGACAAAGAACCACACGCACACATGAAGCATGGAGGCGATCCCCAGCGCACCTTAGCGGTGTCATGCTACAGTAAGTGGATTTCCATCTAGAATAACTTACCTGCTCTAGCTGCAAGTTTTTAGTCTGAAGCCAAAAAGTGATTTTAGCTTTAGTCTGCTTTTTCCCTCGCTGAAACCAACCCCCCTCTGAGACGACCACAGAGCCTTTTCTGCACTCCAAACTTAAGTGGATTACATCCGAGGCATTTGGGATTTTTGTGGGCTGTAATTTGAAAAGACATGCTGGACCGCAGGATACAACACAACCAGGGAAGAACTGTGCGTGTTTGCTGTCACTTTTCATATGGATTACAGCACTAATCTGTTCTCCTCGAGCACACACACACACACACAGGAGGACGGTCCACAGCTCGTCATTATGATGAACTTCACACAGAGGAGAAAGTAGGTGTCCAGTCGGTTTCTTTTAAATGTCTCCTCTGAGAGTTCAGTAAATGCATCTGTGTCTGGCTGATGGCCACAAAAAAAAGAAGAAGATCTTTTTAATGCAGTTATGAAGATTCTGAAATAGTGGCCAAAACACTGACAGACTAGAGATTTCTGAAGATTGTACCTAAACATGATGGTTTGTGCATGTTGGTGATTGAACTGGTTTTGTTTGTGTCCAGCTAGTGAACCCTGGACCTCAGCCATGGGAGCAGTGTTGGGGGTAAGAAGAGTCTGAGCGCTCCCAGTATCTCCAGTGCTCCTCGAGGAGTCTCCCAGAACCGGCCCATCAGGGAAGGGTTGCAAGGGTCCGCCGGCCCGGCTCACGATGGTGCCGCCTCCTCCCACCAACAAGCCCCACGTCTGCTTGTCCACCATCGTCATCATGAGCAGCATGGCTCTGATGGACGCCTACCTCGTGGAGCAGAACCAGGGGCCGAGGAAGATCGGCATCTGCATCATGGTGACGGTGGGCGAGCTGTGTTTCCTCATCGTGCTGAGATACGTGGCGGTGTGGGTGGGCGCTGAGGTGAGGACGGCAAAACGGGGATACGCCATGATACTTTGGTTCCTTTACATTTTCGTCTTGGAGATTAAGGTGTATTTTGTCTACCAGAACTACAAAGCTGACCGTAAAAGCCTGGATGCCTTGGCCCGGAAAGCTCTGACGCTCCTGCTGTCCATCTGCATTCCCGTGCTGTTCGTGATTCTGGTCGCTATCGACCACATGGATTACGTGAAGGCTTTCAAGAAGAAGGAGGAGATCAGAAACCGCTTGTTCTGGGTGGTGGTGGATCTGTTGGATGTTTTGGACATCCAGGCCAACCTGTGGGAGCCGCAGAAGAAAGGGCTTCCTCTGTGGGTGGAAGGACTGATGTTCTTCTACTGTTATATTCTTCTTTTAGTGCTGCCCTGCGTGTCTCTGAGTGAGATCAGCATGCAAGGCATCAACATCAGTCCTCACAAGATGATGCTCTACCCCATTCTGAGTTTGGTCACCATTAACGTTGTCACTCTCTTCATCCGTGGAGGGAATATGCTCCTCTATAAGGACAACAGAGTGTCTGGGATACTTATGGCCAAGAACATCCTAGCCCTCGTTCTGAAGACGTGCAGCTTTGTGCAGTACCGGAAACAGTTGCAGAGCGCCCCCCCGGGGTTTGGAGTGGAATTACAGAAGAACTCTGTGCCGTCCGGTCGATCTGTGCAGACGGCTCCTCAGGGAGTGTTACAGGAGCAAACGCCGCTACCGGAGGTCACCACGTGTGAACATACGTGACCTGCGATCTGGGCACTGCCTCTGCAAGGACACAACATCTTTGATGAAACGATGTGGATGTATGCGACATATTGTCATCTCAATGAGAAATACAAGTGGAGCATAATGGAATAAAGGCAGTCTGTAATTGCATAATTCAAAACTTTCTTTCTTATATATATTTGAAAGCATACTATTCCACCTTTCTTAATACGCCAATGGCCAAACTCCAGCCTTTATACGTGTCAGTGATCTGGGGTCGGGTTGGGCTGGTTAGTGTGGTCCAGTTGGCCTCTGCTGGTAGATGTCATAAATGTCTGCGGGCAAGCAACATATAAATCACTAATATTTCATTGTACTACAGTAGAAGTTTCACAAGTGACTGATTGTTTTTGGAGGCTCTTGACTTGTCCTGTCTGCTGTCTTTGCCGTCCCAGCTCAGGATAGTCACCAATGAAGGGTTTGGGACTGCTTTGAGAAGCAGGTGAAAATGATTGGGCATAATTCAGTAGTTACTTAATAAAATGATTGGGCATAATTCAGTAGTTACTTAATAAAATGATTGGGCATACTACAGTAGTTACTTAATAAAATGATTGGCCATACTACAGTAGTTACTTAATAAAATGATTGGGCATACTACAGTAGTTACTTAATAAAATGATTGGGCATAATACAGTAGTTACTTAATAAAATGATTGGCCATACTACAGTAGTTACTTAATAAAATGATTGGGCATACTACAGTAGTTACTTAATAAAATGATTGGGCATACTACAGTAGTTACTTAATAAAATGATTGGGCATAATACAGTAGTTACTTAATAAAATGATTGGCCATACTACAGTAGTTACTTAATAAAATGATTGGGCATACTACAGTAGTTACTTAATAAAATGATTGGGCATACTACAGTAGTTACTTAATAAAATGATTGGCCATACTACAGTAGTTACTTAATAAAATGATTGGGCATACTAGAGTAGTTACTTAATAAAATGATTGGGCATACTACAGTAGTTACTTAATAAAATGATTGGGCATACTACAGTAGTTACTTAATAAAATGATTGGGCATACTACAGTAGTTACTTAATAAAATGATTGGGCATACTACAGTAGTTACTTAATAAAATGATTGGGCATAATACAGTAGTTACTTAATAAAATGATTGGCCATACTACAGTAGTTACTTAATAAAATGATTGGGCATAATACAGTAGTTACTTAATAAAATGATTGGGCATACTACAGTAGTTACTTAATAAAATGATTGGGCATAATACAGTAGTTACTTAATAAAATGATTGGCCATACTACAGTAGTTACTTAATAAAATGATTGGGCATAATACAGTAGTTACTTAATAAAATGATTGGGCATACTACAGTAGTTACATAATAAAATGATTGGCCATACTACAGTAGTTACTTAATAAAATGATTGGGCATACTACAGTAGTTACTTAATAAAATGATTGGCCATACTACAGTAGTTACTTAATAAAATGATTGGCCATACTACAGTAGTTACTTAATAAAATGATTGGCCATACTACAGTAGTTACTTAATAAAATGATTGGGCATACTATAGTAGTTACTTAATAAAATGATTGGGCATACTACAGTAGTTACTTAATAAAATGATTGGGCATACTACAGTAGTTACTTAATAAAATGATTGGGCATACTACAGTAGTTACTTAATAAAATGATTGGGCATACTACAGTAGTTACTTAATAAAATGATTGGGCATACTACAGTAGTTACTTAATAAAATGATTGGCCATACTACAGTAGTTACTTAATAAAATGATTGGCCATACTACAGTAGTTACTTAATTAAATGATTGGGCATACTACAGTAGTTACTTAATAAAATGATTGGGCATACTACAGTAGTTACTTAATAAAATGATTGGCCATACTACAGTAGTTACTTAATAAAATGATTGGCCATACTACAGTAGTTACTTAATAAAATGATTGGCCATACTACAGTAGTTACTTAATTAAATGATTGGGCATACTACAGTAGTTACTTAATAAAATGATTGGGCATACTACAGTAGATACTTAATAAAATGATTGGGCATACTACAGTAGTTACTTAATAAAATGATTGGGCATACTACAGTAGTTACTTAATAAAATGATTGGGCATACTACAGTAGTTACTTAATAAAATGATTGGCCATACTACAGTAGTTACTTAATAAAATGATTGGGCATACTACAGTAGTTACTTAATAAAATGATTGGGCATACTACAGTAGTTACTTAATAAAATGATTGGGCATACTACAGTAGTTACTTAATAAAATGATTGGCCATACTACAGTAGTTACTTAATAAAATGATTGGGCATACTACAGTAGTTACTTAATAAAATGATTGGCCATACTACAGTAGTTACTTAATAAAATGATTGGGCATAATACAGTAGTTACTTAATAAAATGATTGGGCATACTACAGTAGTTACTTAATAAAATGATTGGGCATACTACAGTAGTTACTTAATAAAATGATTGGGCATAATACAGTAGTTACTTAATAAAATGATTGGCCATACTACAGTAGTTACTTAATAAAATGATTGGGCATAATACAGTAGTTACTTAATAAAATGATTGGGCATAATACAGTAGTTACTTAATAAAATGATTGGGCATAATACAGTAGTTACTTAATAAAATGATTGGCCATACTACAGTAGTTACTTAATAAAATGATTGGGCATACTACAGTAGTTACTTAATAAAATGATTGGGCATACTACAGTAGTTACTTAATAAAATGATTGGGCATACTACAGTAGTTACTTAATAAAATGATTGGGCATAATACAGTAGTTACTTAATAAAATGATTGGCCATACTACAGTAGTTACTTAATAAAATGATTGGGCATACTAGAGTAGTTACTTAATAAAATGATTGGGCATACTACAGTAGTTACTTAATAAAATGATTGGGCATACTACAGTAGTTACTTAATAAAATGATTGGGCATAATACAGTAGTTACTTAATAAAATGATTGGCCATACTACAGTAGTTACTTAATAAAATGATTGGGCATAATACAGTAGTTACTTAATAAAATGATTGGGCATAATACAGTAGTTACTTAATAAAATGATTGGCCATACTACAGTAGTTACTTAATAAAATGATTGGGCATAATACAGTAGTTACTTAATAAAATGATTGGGCATACTACAGTAGTTACTTAATAAAATGATTGGGCATACTACAGTAGTTACTTAATAAAATGATTGGGCATAATACAGTAGTTACTTAATAAAATGATTGGCCATACAACAGTAGTTACTTAATAAAATGATTGGGCATAATACAGTAGTTACTTAATAAAATGATTGGGCATACTACAGTAGTTACTTAATAAAATGATTGGGCATAATACAGTAGTTACTTAATAAAATGATTGGCCATACTACAGTAGTTACTTAATAAAATGATTGGGCATACTAGAGTAGTTACTTAATAAAATGATTGGGCATACTACAGTAGTTACTTAATAAAATGATTGGGCATACTACAGTAGTTACTTAATAAAATGATTGGGCATACTACAGTAGTTACTTAATAAAATGATTGGGCATAATACAGTAGTTACTTAATAAAATGATTGGCCATACTACAGTAGTTACTTAATAAAATGATTGGGCATACTACAGTAGTTACTTAATAAAATGATTGGCCATACTACAGTAGTTACTTGATAAAATGATTGGCCATACTACAGTAGTTACTTAATAAAATGATTGGGCATACTACAGTAGTTACTTAATAAAATGATTGGGCATACTACAGTAGTTACTTAATAAAATGATTGGGCATACTACAGTAGTTACTTAATAAAATGATTGGGCATACTACAGTAGTTACTTAATAAAATGATTGGGCATACTACAGTAGTTACTTAATAAAATGATTGGGCATACTACAGTAGTTACTTAATAAAATGATTGGCCATACTACAGTAGTTACTTAATAAAATGATTGGGCATACTACAGTAGTTACTTAATAAAATGATTGGCCATACTACAGTAGTTACTTAATAAAATGATTGGCCATACTACTGTAGTTACTTAATAAAATGATTGGCCATACTACAGTAGTTACTTAATAAAATGATTGGCCATACTACAGTAGTTACTTAATAAAATGATTGGGCATACTACAGTAGTTACTTAATAAAATGATTGGCCATACTACAGTAGTTACTTAATAAAATGATTGGCCATACTACAGTAGTTACTTAATAAAATGATTGGGCATACTACAGTAGTTACTTAATAAAATGATTGGCCATACTACAGTAGTTACTTAATAAAATGATTGGCCATACTACAGTAGTTACTTAATAAAATGATTGGCCATACTGCTGTTCTGTCACTGGTTGCTATATCTAGCAGAGCCGAATACGATAATAAACCATTTCAAACATAGTCTGATCATAATTAGTGTTGTAAGTCTAAACGTCACTTTGAATTACTGTTAGTTTGAGAAGATCAATGTGTCTATCCCATAAACTCAAAGTTTCCTCATTGTATCAAACACATTACAAGATTTATAGAGATCTATTTTTAAAGGTTTGTGATAAGACAATGGAAACGATTGTGATTCATTTGGGATTGTGATTACCTTTATTTTCCAGAAATGAAATATCAAAAGCTTCAGGTCACTATTCATCCAAGCCAATAGGCATGTTTAAAACAGCAACATAAAAAGATGAAAAAGACGCATAAGAACAAAACCCCATTAATGCAACAAACAGCCTTTTAGTAGAAAAGGGGGGAATATTGTTATTCTGTGATGCTTTGATAAAGAATTGTGTATATTTGAGTGGTTGGGGTTGTTTGTCAAAGCATGTTTCACTCAGGTCAAACACTCAAATTACTGATTAGACTGCAGATCGAGTGTGTCTCGCGTCCTAATTCTGATGAGGGCTTTTAATTAAACAGCATTACAAAGAGAAAATGACCAATGATTTTCCTCTCTTCATTTTAATCTCCAATTAGTGGCTATCTAATTGCAAATGTAGTTCCTCTTTGCCAAAACTATTTATCTGAAAATGCTCTTCTAACAGCTTGTCCGCTGCTGTAGTCAGTCAGGTGATCAATGAATGAAGACAAAACTCTAGTAGTATGCAAGATGATGTTTTAATTTGATCATGTTTGATGTTGGTTATGAATTAACAGTGAATGTACTGCTGTGAGAAACTTCAACAGGCTAGACTCGTGATGAAGAAACAAACCTGTTACTGCCTGCATTTGCTTACCTGACACGAAATGAAAGAAATGGACAGAGATTCACTTTAAAAAAATCCTGGGAAAATTGAAGCATCTCAGAACGCTGTGATAAAGATGCATTTTTTTATTTTATCCATGAGGAACATGTTTAACATTATTAAGTAA